TGAAGGGGTCAAATGACGCGATGGGGTTTGCGGCTCCCAGATACGACTGGCTCAGGTACCTCTGAGATGAGCACTGGGATCTCACTACTACCCCGCACATTTTAATCTCTAAAATATGTGTTGCATTTCTCAAAACCCTTATCAAGGCTCCAGCCTGCCACCACATCTTTCCTTTTTTCTCTGTGCTTACTCCAATATTACTTGCTTACATATGATGCGTTATTTTAAACCCTCAGCTCAGAGACCTTTAGTTGATTTTTTTTCCCCTCAAGAAAAATTCAGAAATAAATCACAGGTACAAGAGGTTTGGGTTTGGTTTTTGTTCTGTTTTTTTCTCTACAGCCAGTAGATGAAATAATATTTAAAAAAATGTGGAAGGGAATAAGCGATTGAAATAAGGATCTAGTCCATCAGCTTTCATGCTCCACAAAACCCAGTAGTAAACAAAGCAAGAATACTTGGGGGCTTAGAGAGGGCTGCTCTTGGGGGAGCTGGGGTTGTTAATTATGATGAAATGGCTACTTGAGGAAAGAGGGAATGTAGGCTTGCATCCCATGCCTGCACCCAGCACGGCATCAAGGGGAGAAAGTTTGGGCCCGTTTCCTATGGGAATCAGTGCAATGCCATTCGCTGTGGAGCAGAGGGCCGCTGCCTCAACAGGGAATTTTCATATTAACCTGAACCTGAAAGGGAAAGTAAAATAAACTCTCCCTTTGCCATTCCAGTGTCTGCATGGAGAAAGCTTCTCCTGCTCTATTTATACGCTGTATAAATCAGTCTCCAGACTGTTACCATAGATAACAGAGGTTTTTTCTGCTGTTGTCTCTAACAGCTTCTTTTTTCCCCCCACTATATTTTGTGCGATTCCTACCTATCGCCTCGGTGAGTAATTCTCCTGGTCTAAAGCAAATTACAACTTGGGAGCAAGCCGGGTTTTTCCCGAAGAGAGAGATTTTTCATCCCCCTCTTGCTGAATTTTGCTCCCAGGTCTCTATGTAGCCCTGAGAAACCTTGCAGAAAGTGGAGCTATAGGTGACTGCATCTGATCCCGATACATATTTAACCTTCTTGCAGTCTCCAGGAATTAACTATTTAGGAGGTAAGCAGCCGACGAAGGCATGGCACCGGAATAACACGGTCAGGCTGCTTCGCAGTGATGCCGATGCTCCGCAGAAACCGTCATCAATTCTCAGTACAGAGCTTGTGCAGGACACATTGTCACAGGCTGGGATTTTCATTTGAAATAACTAACTAAATAAATGGGGCAGGTCCCTATTTCAGGGACTGGTGGATGCAGCATTTCCCCTCCCAGGGATGGTGAGTTAATGGGATTTGTTGCTCCTGGCTGGGGGGGTGAGGGGGGTTAATCCCTTCCTTCATGTATATCCCCACTAAGCTGTTTTAGGTCGTGTTTAGAGTTAAAGTTTGTCAGTATGGGCTCTGCCCATCCATCTCCTCAGTTCCAGGCGTGGGGCTGAACCCAGAGAGGTGCTGCCGGCTCTGGGTCTGCCATCTTCACCCTCTTGCACCTCGCAACACCCAGAAATTGAGCAGAGCCCCAGAAAAAAAGGTACAAAATATGCAAAATGAGGTATAAATTTCCCCAAAGCAGTAAAAAAGCTTGTGAAGGCTTTTAGAAACGCTGTCATCGTCGCTTGGGGAAAACTCCCAGCGAGGCCCAGAGCCTATTGTTTGCTGCAATGTAATGTGTTATAGAGAAGATAGGGCAGAAAAGGGACTCAGCACCCACCTGCAAGGACCCGTTTCCCCAGAGCCATATCCAGCAGTCATTAAGCTGATTGTGGGGCCGTGGGTTTGGGCTTGATTTCTTAAGTGCATGGTCTTTTAGAAGCTGTCCTAGAAAGTGTTAAATAGCCTCACCTGACCTCCTCCAACAAAGCAAAGCTCCGCATCCTTATTTCAGGGCATACATCACCTCTACAGTTTTCCCTCTGGCACTGGGGGTGGAGCAGGGAAGTGAAATGTCATGGAAAAAAAAAAAAAAAGAAAAAAAAAGAGTAATTCTAAATCCATCCGAATTCGCCTTGAAACCCTTTTCCCATCCCAGCCAGCCTGAGTGTGCATCCAGGCGATTCCGAGCGGGGCGCGCAGGAGGGCCAGACACATATGCCATGCCATATGGAGCGGCGCGATTCTGGTCAATCGGATCTTTAGGAGTTTTATCGTTTAATTTCTTAATGTGCTAATAGTGCAAAGGGAGGGAATGGGTCATCGGTTAAGTCCAAGGATTTATGTTTTTAAGGGAGCCTAATGTATTGTCAAGCGGGTTGGAGCATGCTTTAAAATACCCCCAGTAAACACAGTGGGGAATGGGCAAGAATGTGAACTAGAAAAGACCCTGGAAGAATTAACCCAGAATGGGTTTATAATGTAGCATCCAGCCCTCATGTGAGTGGGCTGAAATTCAGGCTGAAAATCCCTGGGTCCATTTTGCAAAGACATTTTGCCCAGTGCTGAGGGCTGTGAGCGATGTGAGCCCTGCTCTGGGTTTGCATCTCCAGCTGCCTCCCTGGTTTTCCATCTCCATAGCTTTGCTTTTTAGGCATCTCCCTTCCATTTGAATCCATGAAGAATGGGTGGCAAAATGTCCCTGAGGCACTGATCCTCAGTTTCCCCATTTGTGTAAAGGGAGAACTGCATTTACTTCCTTCAAATTGCTACTTGAGACTGGTGCTTGTGCAGATTCTCAAAGCATTTCGGGGTCCTCCAAAGGAAGGTAGATAGAGTACTGTTACTTATAAAAAACATCGAGAGAAGTAATTTTGGAGGAGTGCTGAAATTGCAACTTTTCACCTCCAACCGTTACCTCCCATGAAACTCACATATTTATTTTTAGGTAAAACAGCCCAGTTCTCTCTAATCTCCAAGACAGAAAACCAAGGAGGAGATAAATAACATGATAATGCCGTGACCCCATCCCCAGAGCAGGCTGCAGCACAGTCCCCATTGGGCAGCTGCCTGTGGGCAGCGGCTGATGCTCCTGCGGCCCCTGGCTCCAGCTGTGGTTGGAAGCGTGGCGGTCTCAGAGGGATGCTCTGGCTGTTGGCTTCTGTCAGTGAGACCTTTAAAACCTGTGCTATATGATTCCTTATTTGAATTGCAAACAGTTTAAAGGAGGTATATGAGAAGCTGCTCGTTCAGGGTAAATAGGGTTTTGGTCTTCATTTTTAGCAAATAGTATTGTGTCATCTTTTTTGGAGGGTGACATTATAAAGGGAAGACTGCAAGATTCTTGTATCCCGGCTGGTGGCTTTCATGAACAATTTTAAACATCTAATTTCCAGTATTTCCTTGAAAACTCATACGATTTGGTGCATTAGATGAAAGTCATTAACGCAGTGGTAACAAAATGGTACTACTGTTAAACAGCACTAAGAAGAAAGGGCCACAGCTCACGTCCAGCTCAACATGAAGATTTCAAGCACATCGGGCCTCCCCATCCCCCCACCCCTCAATGCGCACAGGGCTCTTGTGCTTATTCGGAGCTGGATGCTCTAAGCACACACAGTCTGTGTTGAGGGTATAAACCTTGTGCTCGTGCTTCCAGGAGCTTTTATCTCAGCAACTTCTAGGCCTCGACTGGGGGGGGAGTGAAAAAAAAGGAAGGCACGTATTTGTCTTCACGCAATGAGAAGGAATATACACGCGATGCGGTGTGATGCGTAGCTGGAATTATCTCAGCAGCACTGTTAGCCGCGGTGTGTGCAAAGAGATCCCAGGAGCGGGCACATGCCCTTGACACGAAATCACCCGGCGAGTAATAAAGGATTTCCTGCCTCCAGAGCCTGCTTTAACCAGGAGTTTAGCCTGGGTTACGCTGTGCAGCACCCTGGCAAGGTTACAGGGTCTGACAGGGCACTCTGGAAGGACCAGTGATCCTGGGAATATAGAGATATCCCTGGATATAGATACAGAGATAGCCACAGCATGCACTTCTTAGCATCCGTGTACACCAGGACCTCACCATCAACGAAAAGCACTCTGTTCTCCTTGAAATTCACCTTCAACACAGTAAGATGGGGTGGGTTTGTATTTTGGGGGGGTGTTGGTTGTTATTATTATTATTACCCCCCTTCACTAGCAATTGTCAGCAGAAAGGCTGCAAAAAAAAAAGCAGAGGAGCCACTGCAGCCCGAGCGGAGCTGTCAGCCCCACGCCACTGCAGTGATGTCAGCCGCAAAACACAGCCACTGCCACCCCCAGCCCCTCGCACACACGCACACCAAGTCGCAAGAAGAAGAATTCATAATTACAGTAGCGTAGCCATGAAACCAGCAGTGCTGGGGGGGCTGAGGCAGGGGGAGAGAAAGTGAAGCCTCATCCAAAACTGGTCCTTCATGATAATTTTTTTATTATTATTTCTTTTTCTCCTCGCGAAGCTGCGCCCAGCCCTGCAGCATCCTTTCTCCGCAGCTGGGCTAGGGGAGGCCGGGGGGGGGGGCCAGGGTAGGGGTTCCCCCCCCCAGCCGGGTGGGGGGTGGCGGGGGGACTGGGCTGGGCTGGGGGCTCTCTCCCCGCGGATCGCTCCTTGTTTTAAAAGGCAGCATTTCTGCGGACAACACCCGGAGCATCTCTGCGGGAGAGGGGCTGGGGGCGAGGGCTGCAGCCGCCTTGTTTTCGGCTCACGGAGTCAGCAGCTGTGATTTTTTTTTTCTCTCTTTTTTTTTCTTTTTTTCCTTTTTTTTTTTGGCTGAATAATCCTTTACGGGGAGGGGGTGTGCGGAGAAAGGGGGGGGGGGGGGGGGCTGGGGGAGGAGGGAGGGAAAGTGGATCAACATCACCGAAGGAGGACAGCGAGCGAGATTAGGGCTGGCTAATGATAAATGAGAAGGCGCCGCTGACAGCTCCTCTCTCCGCGCAGCGCCCGCCCGGCTGCTCCGCGCTGCGCGCTCCCTCCGCGCCCTCCAGCCGCCCTCTCCGCTCCCCGCCGCCGGCCCGACTTGATCCCCCCCCCTTTTATATATATATATATATTTTTTTATACGCATATATATAATTTTCACCTCCGCATAGCGCGGTAGGGGGGAGGGCAGTCCCCCCTCCGCCCCCCAAGCATCATCCACGGGATTACGCGCCTGGCCGCGCTGCTGCATCGCCTGCCGGACGGAGGGACCACGGCGGGGCTGCACAGGGGGTATTTCCTTCTCTCCTCGTATGGGGGGGGGATGGTTTGGGGTTGGGGTCGGGAAGTGTGGGGAGCACGACACCCCTCAGCACCCCACGGGGGAGGGAGGGTGCAGTGGGGGCTGCGTCCCCCCTTTTCCACACCCTTTTCTCCCCCTTCGAGGGCTGGGGAGGGGGGAGCCGGGATGGTTTATCGGGGGGGGGGGTGTGCTCTGCCTGTGTTTCCCCCTCCCTCAAGTCGTACCCGGGTGACCTTTCAAATCCAAGCCCCGCTCGTACCTACCGAGATGCATTGGCCAGCAAGGGCTGGGGGATGATGGGGAGGGGGGTGATGCACCCGGGCTCCCCCACTCCCCCTGCCTCCCCCCTCCCTCCATCCATCCCTCCCTCCCTCCCTCCCTGCTCCCTCCCTCCCTCTCTCTGCTGCATTTTGCATGAGCTATCTAGGTCATTAGCATTTTAGCGTATGCAAGACTTGACAAAGCTGATGAGAAGCCAGATGGGCCCCTCTCCTCTTTTTTTTTTTGCACCACTTGGGATCCGAGCGGAAGGACTGACTGCAGCCGGCGGTCGGGGGCAGGTTCCTACCGCTGCCCGGCCCCCCCCCAACCCCCGGCAGAGCAGAGCAGCGCGGCGGGGCTGGGGAAGGCGGCGGAGCGGGCAGCGGCGGGCAGAGCCGCGGGCAGGTAACGGGTAACGCCGACCCCGCCGCCGGCCCCTTCCCCACCGTTCCTCCATTCATTTCATTTAATTTTATATCCTCTTTTTCCTTCTTTGCCAGGGTGGATTTTATCCCCCCCCGCCCATCGGGAAGGGCGCGCCGAGCCCTCCGCGGGGCGCGGAGAACAAAGGCTGCGCTCCGCGGGAGCGGTGGGCAGCGCGGCCCCTCTCCCACCTCCTCCCTCTTCCCCCCACCCTTATTTTAACCAATTTCCCCCTCTGATTCTGTATTTTTCCCTCCCGAGGAAAGGCCCCTCTCTCCGTGTTCACAGCGGACCTTGATTTAAATGTCCATACAATTAAGGCACGCGGTGAATGCCAAGAACGAGGCTGACCAGCATCGAGGCCGGAGGAGGCTCTCCGCACCCGCGGAACCCCCCGAACCCCTTTAATCCCTCTACCCCCCACACCAGGCTCTGCCGCTCTGCGCACCGGCGCAGGTGGCACCCGCAGCGCGGAGGGGGGGGGGGGGGGGAAGGGGGGAAGAGGGATGGGGAGGTCGGCACTTTTTGGGGGGTCCCGGGAAGAAAAGCGGGGTGGTCCCTGAGCGCAGAGGCACCCGGGGGATGAAATCCGGAGCTGTCACTCGGGGTGACCCGCGGGGGGAGAACGGGGGGTCTGCTGCTTTGTGCTTTGCCTTTTCTCTCCGCTTTTCTCGGCGGGATGGTGGGGTTTTCCTTGCTAAAAGCAAGGGCAGGTCTTGGGGTCACCGGGGCTCACGCTGCTCCCGCGGTGGGGGGGTTGGGGGGGGGAGGTTAGGGCAAAGCCGCTTTTTTCTTTATGTTTTTAAACCTTTATTATTATTACCGCATATTTTTTTTCCGGTGGCTGTTTGTGTGTCTTTCCCCTCCACCCCCCACCCCCCCCCTTTATTTCTCTTTTAATCCTTATAATTTAAATCAAAAGTGCCGGGGAGAAGAAGGGGGGAGCGCTGTGTCTGCAGGGCGAGGCCGGGAGTAAATCTCTTGGAGGGATAAACATGTCATTTGTTCCCTTTGTATGGTAATGTCTTGCTGCCCCCCCCCCCCCCCCCCCGGCAGCTGCCCCGGCCATACATCCTCCCTACAAAAGACCCCAATTACCCATCGACTGCCTCATTATACTCCTTACACAGCCCCGGCGAGAGGCGTGTGTGTGCGAGGAGCCGAGGGGAGTAGGGGAAGGAAGGGGAGGGGAGAAACAGCACCTGAATTATTCAAAAAATAAAATAAAAATCAAGAAACTGGAAGCCCGTGGGGAGGGGGGTGCTGCGGGGGGGGATGCTCCGACCCCGCGGCCTAAGCAGAGTGGGTACCCCGCAGAGCTGCCTGCAGCGCAGGGGCTGCTCCGCACCACCCTCCTGTCTGATTTTCCCTTTCCTTTTTCATGCTTTTCTTTTTATTTCATCTTTTCCCCTTCACCTTTTTAGCCAGAGAGGTGCCTGGGAGCCCATCGCCAAACCCCTGCCCCACTCCCCGCTGGGGCCCTTCCCCTCCCTGCCTTTCTCCCAGCCCTTCACCTCCCTTCCCTTCTCTTTGCAGCTGGAGGCCAACCTGCCCCACATGCCTGCATCCCTACATCCCTGCATCCCTCCATCCCCATGTCATCCCTCTACCCCATGGCCAGTGCATTGCTCCCAGCAGGTGCTTTGAACTGAGCAAGAACAGGCCTTACTGGAGGGGATGGGGTAGCTGCACCCGGGCTGGGGGAGCCAGGATGGTGGTGGTGGGGGCTCCATCTCTCTTTGCAGCTCTGCATGCAGACCCTCACGCATGGGAAGGTGCCTGTGGGAGCATTGACAGGAGCTCGGGGTCCCTGGGACGCATCTTTGCACCCCGTCCCCGGGGTGCTGCAGGTATTTCAGGGCAACCCTCCCTAGGCTTGCATCCTGAGTGGTGTGGATGTCACAAGGAGCCCTGTCGTGTCATGCCTTGCCGTGCCAATAAAGCTCTTTCGCTGCGGGCTCCTGCATCCTCTCCTTTGTTCATGGAGGTTTCTCGCCCGATTCTGTATTGCGGCAGAGGCAGGACCCCTCCCGAAGGACTCACACTCATCACTAGGTGGGGGATATATATTAAAATCCACCCCAAAATAAAAACCTTGACCTTTCAATTTGGCAGCCCACAGTCACTTGCTCAACCCTGGGCAGGCATCTCTGCATCCCAGACCTCCAGGAGAGTCTGAACTGCCAGAGGACTCCTGTTTAATGAATAAAAGGGAGGAAAAGAAATAGATTTGGGGTGCTTTCTATTTGGGATCGCCTCCATCCCCTCAGGCAGATCCCTGCCCCACCGCACTATGCACTGAGCATCCCTCTGCAGTACTGCCTGCCCCAGCCGCACACGGCCCTCACCCAGAAAGCCAGCAAAACAGCTTTTCCATTAGTGAGCTGCGGCATGGGAGAGAAAAACAAGATCTAAATAACCCCAAATAAATAAACAATCCATTTACTGCTTATGAAATAGTTGGGATGAAGAGACGCCATCACCTCACACCCAAAGGCAGGAGGCCTCGTACCCCACCGGCGCCCAGCTGCCTTCCTTGGGCTCAGCTCAGGGGGACGGAGAGGAGGGGGCTGGAGGCTCTTATTAATACTAATCCCAAGAAATATTGCTATGCCCTGAATAAATCATGCTGGGGGTTTCTCAAAGACCTTTGCCCCCTTGAGATGAGCTGCAGCATGGCCCCTCCTCTTCTGGGTGGACACTTTGGATAGGGAAGTGGCTCGGGGGGTGGACAGATGTGTTTGATTTTTTTGCTGAGGGATGGAGGAGGAGGTGGCACAATTTTATTCCAAGCACGTCAGCTCCCCCCCCACCTCCCTGTCCCCTCCTTCCTCCCTCCACCTGCAGTCCGATGTAAACATAACAGCTAGAAACCTGCCAGGCTCCAACCCCGGCTGGATTACGGCGGGGGGGGGGGGGGGGGAATTAAGCAGCTTGTGTGAACATTTGATGAACACAGTGATGCCCCTGAATAACCTTCAGGCGTCTGGCCTCAAGGTCGTGTGCTAGAAGGGACCAGCAGAGCTAGGGAGAAGGACCCGCAGATACCCATGATGCGGGGAGAGGAAAGGGATGGATGGAGAAGAGAAGTGGGGCACGCAGATCCTTCCATCTGCAATTTTGTGCCATTTTTATTCCTCCCTGCCCACGCCCACCCCCTGACCGATCGCTCGCCAATGCAGTGCTGCTTTGACTTGAGATGCTTTGGCTCCAATGGGGAGGCAGAAAGGAAGATGTGGGAAATTCCTCTATTTCCCTCATTCTCTGGCTCTCTGTGGAGTTCTAGCCCCATCCAGCTCTGCTGTTCATCTCCCATGAAGGATGATGGTCTCCATGCAGAAAGGTCCTTTCCTCCCCATCCCTGCAGCATGCAGCTCCTTTTCTCCTATTTTTATGCCGCATGCCTCCTTGAACCGCAAACGAACATATCTCCTAGCAGCAGTAGTCAAAGTGGGCGTTTTATTGGGAAATCTAATCAGGATTCAAGGGGAAAATCCTTTCTTAATGTCTCAGCTGAGCAATGAGCTTGATTAAATTGTTCAGACTATAAAAAGGGCCAAGAGTCTCTTATTTTTTCCTCTTCACTCTTCCTGGACAGCACCATCGTCTTCACGCACCACTCCACTGTCTTCAAAGTCCAAATAAGCCTTGATGACACAGGACTTACATGTCATTCCCCAACACCCCCTCCCCCACCTCCCCCCAGCAACAGAGTCACAAATCATCTCAAACACTCTAAATTTAGACCACCAAGGAGACCACAAACAGGGATTTTTGGTGACATCACTGCTGGAAATTAAGGGGTCAAACAGGGAAGCTGAACACGGCACCCCGAGGAGTGGACATGGAGCTTTAATGATGCTCACATACACGAAGGCCATCCTGTTTTTCCTATTAAGACATCTTAAAGCAGACCCTCAAAATACATTTTTCCCTTAACCCCAAATGTCCAGCAATTAGATTACTTCCAATCAGGAGCTGCACTTAAAAGACCAGGGGAACCCAACTGATCAGCATGGCTGAGCTGCTTGATGTGAGTGGGTTTGCTCCAAGCCTGCGGGTGATGAGAAACCAAAGGAGCAGAGCCGGTGATGAGCCATGCCTGGTGCAGGGGCTGGGTAAAAAGGCAACTCGCATCTCCTGCAGCCCTGGAGCTGGAAGGCGGGTCCAGCATTTGCTATGCGGATGGTGGTGATGGAGGATACACCGTTACCATGGCACTTGCACAGTTGTGTGTGCATACGGTCCCAAGTGCCGCTGTTATCATGGGGTGGTGATGTTAATTGTGACATCCTGGTACCTATAGAACTTTCTTCACGCATTGCTCTGTAGATGAAGGTCAGAGCAAAAAGCACAGCACACAGGGGAAAGCGAGCCAGGGCAGAGTCCCTGGATGGGAATGGGACTGCTCTGAGCAAGAGGTCCTCTATGCCAAAGGACGAGTAAAGAAGAGGAATTCCCATGGCTTCCATTGTGCTGTGGTTAGAAGGGCAGATCCTGACCTCGTCAACAAGATCAGGTAGGTCGGAGGGCAAGAGTTTGATAAGAGTAGCACAAGACATACTTATCATCCAAAAACAATCATCTGGACTCTCATCTAAAGGTTTAGCAGCAACATGATACCCAGTGCCATCAAAGTTCTTTAATCACTGACAATACCAGGAAATATTTGAATGGCATCACTCATTGAACCTATCTATGCATTGTGATACAGAAATACACCTATACTCACCCCAGAAACCCTAGTCCATAAAATGTCCACCCCACAATCCAGTGTAAGCACCCCAATTTTAGGACATGAACGTGTTCCAGCACTAAAAGCCAAATTAGCAGGAGTCCAGACCCTTCCTTTTCCACAGAAAGGACTCTGTGTGTTCCAGTGAGAAGGCTGTTCCAGTGAGAGCCTCTTTTGGGGCATTTTGGGACCATTTCAGCCAAAGTGCAAGACAGCAAGAGGATAAAATGCACCAGTGATTGGTCACTGGAGGTGGTCAGCAGCATAACCTATCCCCATACCCAAGGCAAGCTCTGAGCAGCCTGTCCACAGGATTTACTCTTGGTCTTACTCCTGAGAGTATTTAGGGAGCTGGGGCAGCCTGGAGACTCAGTGGAGTCCATTCCCCCTATCCACTGAAGTGTTTTAAACAGGGTCTAGTCCTCAGCAAGTGTTTTCCAAGTTTCCCAACCTCTCTTCTCCAGCCTTCAGGTTAGGGGGGTAGAGGAGGTGCAGAGGTGGGATTCACCCTACCAAATGTCAGCTGCCAAAATATCCTTGTGAATCCATGTCAAAACGTGCTTGTAAATCACATTGTGTGAATGCTCATTGCTGATGGACAGCCATCCCTTGTCTCTGATGATAAACCACCCTTTGGAAAAGCCCATCTCTCTGCCCACTTAATAAGCAGGCCAGCAGGCCAGCAGACACTATCTATATGCTACTCAGATGGGTGAATCTACAAATATGAAAAGGGTTTACGCAAACAATAGAGGCCAAGGGACCCAGCTCTGCCAAGATCATAGAATCATGGGTTAGAAGGAACATTTAAAGGCCACCTAGTCCAATCATGTGCAATGAGCAGGGACACCTTCCATGAGGCCAGGTTACTCCAAACCCCTTCCAGTCTGGCCTTGAGCACTGCCAGGGATGGGGCAGCCACTGCTTCTCTGGGCACCCTGTGCCAGGGCCTCACCACCCTCACAGGGAACAACTTCTGCCTAAGATCTTATCTCAATCTCCCCTCTGTCAGGTTAAAGCCATTCCCCCTTGTCCTGTCCCTACAGGCCCTTGTGAAAAGCCCCTCTCCAGCTTTCTTGTCAGCCCCTTTAGGCACTGGAAGCTGCTCTAAGGTCTCCCAGGAGCCTTCTCTTCAAGCTGGACAAGCCCAGCTCTCTCAGCCTGGCTCCATAATAGAGATGCTGCAGCACTCAGAGCATCTTCACAGCCTCCTCTGGAGTCGCTCCAACCCCTCCACGTCCTTCTTATGTTGGGGCTCTAGAGCTGGACAAGGGACTGCAGGGGGGTGTCACCAGAGCGAAGAAGAGGGGGAGAAACCCCTCCCTTGACCTGCTGGTCACGCTGCTGGTGATGCAGCCTAAGACACGGTTGGTTTCTGGGCTGCAAGTGCACACTGTGAGGACTTGTCCAGCTTTCATCCACCAGTAACCCCAAGTCCTTCTTCTCAGGGCTGCTCTCAATACCTCTATCCCCAGCTTCAATTTGTGTATGGGATTGACCCAGCCCTGGTGTGCGACCTGGCACATGGCCTCATGAGGTTCACACAGCCCCACTTCTCAACTTTCCCAGGTCCCTCTGGATGGCATCCCTTCACTCCCACATTGACCACACCACACATATTGTGTCATTGGCAAAATTGCTGAGGGTCAAATGAGCTTCTCCTGGTGCAAATTACTACTGGGAGAGCCATAACCTCTTGTAAAATCTGGTGACATCCAAGAGAGGCAGAGGTGATGCTTTTCAGGACCTGCCTCTCACAAAACCTCTGGTGGTGAGTGACCCTTCACCGCCCTCCTGCTGGTTTGGGATGGAAAGACAGCAGCCATCAGTGCCTAAATCTGATACAAATCACTTTGGTCATGGCAGCATGAGAGGATTTCTTCATCTCCAATACACAGAGTGGCAATTTTTTTAATGTTTGCTTATTGGAGCCTTTTTATTTTAAACCAAGATAGGCTGAAGTGTTTCCATGTGGCATCAGCTGTGGAGATGAGCTAATGCAAAGCTCATTTCCCTGCTAACACGGGTCTTCCTCTGCAGTCATAGTCGCACCAATAATATCTTACATACGGAGAGACAAAAGTAATGCATATGCATGTGTAATTTTCAATGTCAATGTGTTCAACTACGAGTTAGAATCATAAAAGTTATTTCATTTATTACAATCGTACATAAAGCCTCTTAGAGCTGCAGACTTGGAATAGGCAATTATGCCCATAGGTTAATAACATACAGCGATTTGACT